TTAGTAGCAATAATTATACATAACTTTATTAAGAGTCAAAATATGTGTCACATTCAATTCACATTTACAATGTTTTAAAGAATGAGTTAAAAACATCTTTAGGTTAAAAAAATCCACTTTGCATGGTTTTTAGCTATTTAATCTCTTCTGTCGTCTTTATTTTTTGGATTTCAGTTTGTGTTAACCAAATCTTAGTCTTCCCCCCTCCTTTTTTTTTTTTAAAAAAAAAAAAAAAAACAACTCTTGTTTACTATATAATTTTTTAGTCCTGTTTCAAAATATATCAACAGTTCCTAGGAAGTAAGAGGGAGCTATGAGGCCATCAAATGAGGACTTCCCCTGCCACTCAAGATACTTTCCCCCTAAATTCTCTTAAAAAAGAAAAAAATCCTATAGAAATATAGGGCTAAGCTTTAAGTCTGTTCAATTAAAACATCTAAATAGATTCTTTCTTCTTTGTAATAACCTTCAATTCAATATGTTAACTAAAACAAATTTTACCCCCAACTTAGAAGCACTTGTAACAGCAAAATCAGCAGATTCAAATGACTTAATCAAAGAAAGAGTCCTTAAATGCCTGAAGTATAAATGGGAACACAAAATCTGAATATGGGCTTTTATTTGTAAACAGACAAATCTTCAGAAATACTGTCTATGTATTCTGTGTATTGTTATCAACTTATTGCTGATAAACACTGTGGACTAAATACATGTGTTTATCTCTTCTTTTTCTCAAAACCCTAATAAAACGGCAGGAGAGAAATGGAAAAACCTATAATCCTATGTGGAGAAAAATGATCAGAAAGGAGACAGTAGCAGATGTGAGGTGGTAGTTTAAGAGGAAAAGTAGAAGGGGAGTGGTAAATGACTTGGGGGACACTACAGCCCAGGTGGATTCAGGGACAGCACCGCTGAGAACAGGGCTGCTCCTCCATGGAGACAAGACGGGTGCCATGGCAACAGCACCAGGGAGGCCTGGGGATAAAAACTGGAGGAACAGCTGAAAGTGCTCCAGGGACGAGCAAGAGCGCCAGGTGCTCACTCCTACTCCTCATGAACAGGTGACAGTGCTCTCTCCCTGTGCCCTGCCTCACCTCTAAGGATTAGGAAAGGTTTGTTTCCTGTGAAACTAACCACAATGGCTGTGGATTCAGTGCCCCCCAGCATAGCAGAAGGCAAGAAGACAAGAACATATTTCTCTGTGTAGGGCACTGGAAGATTCTTTACTGAAGAAACCAAACAGCCTTTAAAAAAAAAAAACAAAAACAAAAAACAACCCTCAGAAAATGATAGTTGGGGGTCTCCCCTCCCAAAAAGCCAACTTCCTTCCCAAACTCAACATGATTAAGTCTACTCACAAAGCCTATTATTATTAGCACTTTCTAGTGTCTCATTCTTAAATATAAATGGCTCACGATGAAGCATCAGAGTTCATCAGATCTTTTAGAGCCTCCATCTGGAAAGACAACAAAATGAAGTAGATAGGGGTTGCAGTCTATGGCACATGACCTGTTTCTGTAAGGCCTGTGAGCTAAGGATGGTTTTTACATCACAGCAAAGATCACATATGTCCCACAAAGCCTAAACTATTTATTATTTGGTCCTTTAAAGTTTGCCAAACACTATTTGAGAAGATTATGGAAGAACACCTTCAAACTTCTGAGGGAAATTAATCTGCAACACAGAATTTTATAGCCAGCCAAACTATCAAATGGACAGCTATGGGAGGACTACAACTTAAGTCCATACATTCCTTCTGAAGAAGGCACTGATGTATGTCCTTTACCAATAAAGTAGCAAACCAAGAAAGAGGAAGATAAGAGGCTAGGAAACAGTGAAGCCAACAGAAGGGGTGAAGGAAACCCCAGGACGGTGCTGAACAGCACCTAGAGAGCATTTAATCAGACCTAGTGAGAAGATGGAAGACTCTAGGGAGACTAAATTGCCCGATAATTTTGACTCTGTGGAAAAGTCAGAAGAAAGTGCTGAGATGCTATCCCAGATGCATAAAGAACCAAAAATTTTTTTAAAAATTACAGAAATTATTAACTCCAGGAGGACAAAAAATTGTTCAAGGAAATGTGACCCTAGTTTACTATGTGGCTAAGTAATAAACAATATTTATGTGCCTTAATAATACAAACAGAATATTTATTGAACCCCAATTATGATATAACTGTATTGAAAAGACGGGGGGAAAGGAAAGTATATGGTGGGTCCAGGAGAGAGAGACTGAAAGAAAGCTAAATCCTCATGTGGGGAAATAGATTTTTTTATATATCTTATCCTTTGAATCAATTATACCCTTCCCTTATACCCAATTTTACCCTTCACAAAATTCTAAATCAAGAGATAATGGGATTTTTTTTTTTTTATTATACACTCTCAAAGTATTGTTCTATTCTGATTCCATGAAAGATCTTTTAAAGAAAACAGTGAGTTATTTCTAAGACATCAAACTGGAAAAAAAAAAGAAAAACTCAGAGAAATAAAAGGTGAAATGAAACATATATTTAGAAAAATTTTATCTTTCTTAATTTACACAGACTTTTTCCCCTAAAATAGCATAAAATCTTCTATGATAGAGAACTATGTCACATGCTCTGAAATCAAAATTACCACTATTTAACAGTTTTATTTATACACATATTTCACTGTATCTTATACAAAATATCCTTATTACAGAGAAAAATAACAGAGCACATCTATTGTGAATTAATGCATAGATTATCAACAGAAACCTATAACATTTAAAAGAAATGAAGGCCTCATTCTCTAGACTACTGAACACCATTTATTCTTTAAGACATAAAAGTTCCCAATTCCCTTCTCATTTCCTACAGATTTCTTACTGTAAGTTCTTTATGCTCATTCACTACTGTCAAATTTGCTTGAAATAGTCTTATTTTGTATTTTTTCCTTTTATGAAAAAATGAACATTTTCTAAAATCCAGCTTTTTCCTTTCTCCTGTGTTTTGATACACATTTTTTTCTCTTAATTTTAAAATTTTCCTAATTTTATTTTGTTTTTCAGGTCTATTTTCAACTCTGAATTAATTTTGACATAGGGTATAATATAAAAGCTTGATAATATCCTCCCAGAGTTTCATTTTTAAAGACAAATTTTCCACACAGTCTCTCTTTGGACATAATAAATTCTCATATGCAAGAGGAAGACTATATTTCTGGCTATTATTTTACTAATCTGTCTATTCTTATACCATTATTTCACTATTATTGCTTTTTATAATATTCTCCACATGTTTTAATTTTTTGAAGCAAAGGGTTCTGTTTTATTACTCTCATGAGCATTTTCTTTGATATTTTAGTATGTTTCACACTCATAAAAATTCCAGTTTGGATTTGTTTTTTCATTGGTATTGCATTAAAATCTTATTATTTTGTGTACTTTCAAGAGAATTCAGACTCAAGACTGGCATTTTTAGAATATTTATTGCCCACACAAGAACTTTATGTGTTCTTTTAATTATTCAAAAGTTCTTTTATGTATCATAATAAGTTCACATATATCATTGATAATTCCTATTTAATATTTGTTGTTGCAATTGTGAATAGCATCTTATAATCTAATTGGTTTACAGCATTATAAAGAAAATGGTATCATTCATATCAAGTCCTTTTGTCAAATTCTAAATGATTCTAGTTAATCAATTTTCTTTGAGCTTAAACCAGCTTGAGTTCTAATATTATATACAAACTTAACAAGCTTGTGTATAATACTATAACCCCTGTTTCCCAAAGTTTGTTTCCATTTCCTGTCTTTTTGTTCTCACTACAGCTTCTAAAGTAATAATAAGCAGTGGTGTAAGGCATCTTATTTTAGGCCCATTTTTAATAGAACTAGTTCTTTATTTCACCTGTATGAAAATGTTGCCTATTTATCTGAAATAAGTTTCTTTAAAGACTAATAGTTTTAAGTGTTCTTTGAATCAGTAACAGTTGAATGCTATCAAATGTCTTCTAGATCTGAGAAAAAATTTTTTTTCCAATTTAATCTACTAACATTACGTATTATACATGTAAACTAAATTATCCTCATCTACCTCCAAAAACCCTTTCAGCTGCCCTGGATTAACTGTTAATACCCTGACGAATTCTATTAACTAGAATTAAGAATATCCGGATCGGGGCATCTGGGTGGCTCAGTGGGTTAAAGCCTCTGCCTTCGGCTGGGGTCATGATCCCAGGGTCCTGGGATCAAGCCCCCCATCGGGCTCTCTGCTCAGCGGGGAGCCTGCTTCCTCCTCTCTCTCTGCCTGCCTCTCTGCCTACTTGTGATCTCTGTCAAATAAATAAAATCTTGAAAAAAAAAATCTTGAAGAAAAAAAAAGAATTTCAGGATCAAAGCAGTGGCAGAGGGGTGTGTATTTGTAAGTGAGTTAGTGAGACTGGTAGTTTAATTTATTGTGCTCTTTGTTAGGTTTTGGTAAGCGTGGGCCATTATTTCCATACAATGAACTGATAACTTTCCTTATATCTTTTTGTTTCATGAGAACTATCTGAATATTATCTACTAAATTTCCAAAAGTTTTTATAATAAATACATTCAAGTTAGGAACTTTTGCAAGATGGAGGGTGGTGTTGGCTAATGCTTTGATAACTCTCAATTTCTTATTCAGGTGTTGAGATATTCACACTTTCTATTTGTAAATTTTTATCATTTGCTGCTCCAAATATGCTATAAGCTAGAAAGCTAGAATTCTGCCTAGAAAAAGAAAAATGTAAATGAGTTGTGTCTGAGTGCCTCTGAAGCTTTGCTAAGAGTTTTATGGCATGATTCTATGATCTCTCTTTTGATTATTCAAGCAGCATTTCTGCTTACCTTTTTAGTTCTTGGTTATACTCTAACTAGGTTACATTTGCCACAGAAACAACTTCGTGTAATTCTAGAATCCAAACTATGTCTTTGAATTACATAGTTTCCCTAGTAATTTTTATCCATAATTCTGAAATATAAAATACACAGGCTAATAACTCACTTTATTTACTTCAGCAATTTCTCGCCTCTCTTCACTAGCAAAACGAGGTGGGCCGGCCCGATCGTCATTCTTTGAGCCATCTTCTTCCACATACGGAATTAGTTGCTGGGAGTGACAGACAAGACTTAAAGTTAGAAACATGATGCAAAGTTTCCAACTACACTGGTATACAAAGTCTCTCTGATTAAGGTTAATTTTTATCCTTTTCTTTTAGTAGTATATACATGTATTGTAATTCAGGTGATGGCCTAAAATAACAGCATTACAAGTTTATCATTTCAGTACCTACTGTACATTATTTTCAAGTTTCTTTTGCAAAATAGATCTTGTAACATTAGTTGTTACATGCAGTTAAGTAATATCCTACCCATTTAATCAGCAAATATTTAATTTTCAGATACTGGGTGAGATACAGCAAAAATGATGAGATGTGATACTTGCCCCTAAAAAACTTACAGTCCATTGATAGAACAGGCTTTTCTTTTCATCTATACTAGAAAGAAAAGAACTTCACGGATGTGCATTATATAAATGTCACTTACTTTGCTATCTAGAACCTCAGTGTTCATGCAAATTTCTAAGTTAAGAGGTCTTAACTTCTTTTAGTTGGGAGAAAGTTTTTTGTAGGAGAAAAAAATTTATATAGCAATGGAACATCTAGCAGAATTATAATGAAATATGTATGGTTTATGATAAGGTTCATTTGAAGCCCCTCATAAATGTTAGAGAGATTTCAGGAATCATTTGGTCTCTACCATCTTATATTGACAATGCAGGAACAGGCCGGAGGTAAACAAATGGTACAAGCAGGAGTCATCTGGCCAAACCTCTTCAAATTCTTGGGACAAATATAAACTTGTCCACATCAAAACCACACTTTCTTCCTGTCAATGCAGAGCTATCCTCCCTCCTGGAGATGATTAATTTCCATTCCTGTGTTCTGATTTCTTCATCCTCCTGTCTTAAATATTTATCTTCTTGCTCCCAACGTCTCCCCACTGTTTTCTTCCTGTATAATCTAAACATGTCTGGTCTCTCATTTAAACTTTTTTCTCCTTTTCCCCTTTTTTTCCCTTTCCTTTCCCCAAAACCCTTGACACCAACCCTCCTTCCATCTACTGTTTTCCTCTCTTTATGAAAGCTTTTTGAAAGATGGATATCCACTTGTTAGCTCCAGTTCCTTGCTGTGTAATCTTCAACCCATTGCAACCTAACTTCTTGTTGCTAACAAACATTTCAACAAAGTTCTGCTTATATAAACCAACAATTTTCCTCTAGTAAAATCTACTGGACAATTTTCATTCCTTTTTTCCTTGTATCCTCTCCAGCATCTGACAATGTCGCCCACATTTTTTATCTCTCTCCTATATCTCTGACCACTTTTCAGGCCATTTTGCAGTTTATTCTTTCCTCTGTACATCCCTTACATGCTGATCATGCAGAACGGAAGCACTTGTCACATGAAATTGTCCTCCATATGTAGTGAGAGAACATCTAAACCTTCCCTGCTACTTTTGTGGGCAGAGACAGAACTTGTCAACAGCAAAGGGCCACCTATTAAAAATATTATATACCTAGTGAACTAAAACATGTCTGTAAACCCAAGATTAAGTTTAAGAAATATATTTTCAAACAAAAGTGATTCCACCAAGCTAGTCTAAATTAATAATGATGAAAACATAGTATTTCATCTGTAGAGAACTTCCTTGAAAACCATTTTAAGAGTATTTTACAATGCTATTAAGACTCTTACTAAAAAAAAAAAAAATCATGCACTGGTTTAATTAATTAGACCCTGACAGCAATAATAAAAACTGCCATAGACCTCTCTTTCCTCCCTACAACAAAAATTCACTACAGGGTTGGATGTTCAAATCTCCAAAGTAGTAATGTGACAAGACAGTACTAATTCTATGCATATATATCATAGTTTCCTCTTCTCTCATCAAAAGTAAATAACCAATATACATCAAAATCTGAAAATATTGTGAAAAGAGAAGGAGAAAAAAAAAAATTACAAATGTCTGGCATCTTACATTCACCCTCCCTCTCCCGCTACAACTTGCCTCCACTGGGATGGGATCCATCCCTCCACAGTTTTCGTTGCATTTGTCATAGACCAGTCTCAGCTTCCTGAAGAGAATAGAAAGTTGGCGAAGATGGTCTTGGAGCTTTGCTAGCCGGTCTTGATACGTTCCAGTATGGTAAGTGACACCATTTGGCAGCTGATCAGGCAAAACAAAAACAAGAAAAATACGAAGTAACGACAATCAAGATTTTCTAGAAGTAAAAGCTAGCAAAGCAGAAATTCTTTTTAAGTACTGCGTAAAAGCAAACTGTTTTTTACAATTAATCAAGAGTAATTTTTGAAGGATTTAAGAGTAATACTCAGTCATTTGTTAGCTCCTTCGTGTAGTGTTTCGGTGCTGTAAGATAGCCCCAGAAAAAACTTCACGATAGGCCTCTCCGACCAAATACTTTCCCTTCTAATTTTTGAAGTAATTATAACTTGAAAAAGAACACCACATGACAAACCATAAGAGAAATCTTAATCTCAGAAAGAGGGTATGTGCTTTTATTTTTTTATTAACATATAATATATTATTAGCCCCAGGGGTATGAGTCTGTGAATCGCCAGGTTTATACTTCACAGCACTCACCATAGCACATACCTTCCCCAATGTCCATAACCCCACCACCCTCTCCCTACCCCACTCCCCCCAGCAACCCTCAGTTTGTTTTGTGAGATTAAGAATCTCTTATGGTTTGTCTCCCTCCCAATCCCATCTTGTTTCATTTATTCCTTTACCAAACCCCCAACGTTGCCTCTCAACTTCCTCATATCAGGGAGATCATATGATAATTGTCTTTCTCTGACTGACTTATTTCGCTAAGCATAATACCCTCTAGTTCCATCCATGTCGTCACAAATGGCAAGATTTCATTTCTTTCAATGGCTGCATAGTATTCCATTGTATATATATACCACATCTTCTTTATCTATTCATCTGTTGATGGACATCTAGGTTCTTTCCATAGTTTGGCTATTGTGGACATTGCTGCTATAAACATTCGGGTACATGTGCCACTTCAGATCACTACGTTTGTATCTTTTGGGTAAATACCCAGTAGTGCAATTGCTGGCTTGTAGGGTAGCTCCATTTTCAACTTTTTTGAGGAACCTCCATGCTGTTTTCCAGAGTGGTTGCACCAGCTTGCATTCCCACCAACAATGTACGGGGGTTCCCCTTTCTCCATATCCTCACCAGCATCTGTCATTCCCTGACTTGTTAATTTTAGCCATTCTGACTGCTGTGAGGTGGTATCTCATTGTGGTTTTGATTTGTATTTCCCTGATGCCATTCACTCATATTCTTAACTGGAGGATTAAAGTGCCTTAAAACCAAGACACTAACTAGTATCCAATAGCTAGAAGATCAGCCTGTTTTTCTAAACTTCAGTTTACTCTTTTTTTTGTAAACAGATGGGGTAGGAATGTGAACAAAGGTGCATGGTAGAGTACTTGGAAAAAAAAGGAAACAGGAAACACTATCATTACAAGTAGATAAACTGTAAACATGAAAAAAAAGACTGGGAAGGCCTACATATAGTTGATAGGAGATATAACAGGGAGATCGGCTTGAATAATTATTTTCTTTTTTTCTATCATTTCCAAATTCCCTGATCTAGAAGCTATGGCACAGTAACGAACATGAGGGAGACAAGGTACCTCTCAGAATATAAGTTATAATAGTGCCTAAGATCTCCTGATATAAACCCACAGTATACATGTTTAGCTGAAAAGTTCATCAATAATCATCTTACTCTTGAATCCTAATAAAGATCTGTAAATATATGATCACACCCCTTGACACCAAAAGGCTAAAATTCAATATCCGGTCTTAAATATCCAGTCTTAAATAGAAAATACTGAGTAAAAATCCCTCAGCACTAAAAAATACATTTATCTCAGTTAAAAAGTCAGCACCATGATTAATGTGGAAACATTAAAAGCATCCTCACTGAAGTCAGGAATGGAACAGGAAGTCTACGAAGACCACTAATACTACTAGTGAACACTGTTCTGAAGGCAGTGGCCAAAGCAATTAGAAAAAAAAGAAAAAGCTGAAACATTAAAAAGGAAGTAGTATAATAATCACTATTTATGGATATGATATGATAAGGTGCTATTATCAACAAAGGTAGTCAAGAGAGGCTACAAATTTGATACAGAGAAAACAGCTTTGTGTTCAAATATGGAAACAAATAAAAATGAGAAAGGAAAAAGATTTTACATTTACAAAATTTACAAAAGCAGCAATAAAGATAAAATATCTAGTAGACTTTAAACGTTTCAAAATATAGATCTTGGAATCAGCCCCTTGTCTGTAGTGTCATTCCTGAATATCTTTTCCCATTCTGTGGGTTTCCTCTTTGTTTTATTGACTATTTCCTTTGCTGTGCAGAAGATTTTGATATTGATGAAGTTCCAGAAGTTCATTTTTGCTTTTGTTTCCTTTGCTTTTGGAGACATAACTTGAAAGAAGTTGCTATGGCTGATGTGGAAGTGGTTACTGCCTATGTTCTCCTCCAGGATTTTGATGGATTCCTGTCTCACATTGAGGTCTTTTATCCATTTCAAGTTTATCTTTGCATATGGTGTAAGAGAATGGTCGAGTTTCATTCTCCTATATATAGCTGTCCAGTTTTCCCAACACCATTTACCGAAGAGACTGCCTTTTTTCCACTGTGTATTTTTTCCTGCTTTGTCGGGAAGATTATTTGGCCATGGAGTTGAGGGTCCATCTCTGGACTCTCTACTCTGTTCCATTGGTCTATGTGTCTGTTTTTGTGCCAGTACCATGCTGTCTTGATGATCACAGCTTTGTAGTAAAGCTTGAAATCAGGCAACGTGATGCCCATAGCTTTGGTTTTTGTTTTGTTTTGTTTTTTTCTTTTTCAACACTTCCTTAGCAATTAGGGGTCTTTTCTGGTTCTATATGCATTTTAGGATTGTTTGTTCCACCACTTTGAAAAATGCTGATGAAATTTTGATTGGGATGGCATTAAAAGTATAGAATGCTCTGTCGTATAGACATTTTAACAATGTTTATTCTTCCAAGCCATGAGCAAGGAATGCTTTTCCATCTTTTTGTGTCTTCTTCAATTTCTTTCATGAGTGTTCCGTAGTTCCTCGAGTACAGATCCTTTACCTCTTTGGTTAGGTTTATTCCCAGGTATTTTACTGTTCTTGGTGCTACAGTAAATGGACTTACTCTCTAATTTCCCTTTCTGTATTTTCATTGTTAATGTATAAGAAAGCAACTGATTTCTGTGCATTGATTTTGTATCCTGCCACATTACTGAATTGCTTTATGAGTTCTAGTAGTTTGGGGGTCAAGTCCTTGGGTTTTCCATATGAAGTATCATGTTAGAAGAGAAAGAGTTTGACTGCTTCTTTGCCAATCTGAATACCTTTTATTTCTTTTTATTGTCTGATTTTTGTTGCTAGGACTCCTAGTACTAGAAGTACTATGTTAAAAAATAATGGCAAGAGTGGGCATCCTTGACATGTTCCTGATCTCAGTGGGAAAGCTGTCAGGTTTTCCCCACTGAGAATGATACTCGCTATGGGTTTTTCATAGATAGATTTTATGAAGCTGAGGAATGTTCCGTCTATCCCTATACTTTGAAGAGTTTTAATCAGAACAGATGCTGTATTTTGTCAAATGCTTTTTCTGCATCAATCAGCGGACCATGTGGTTCTTCTCTCTTCTCTTATTGATTAGTTCTATCACATTGACTGATTTGCGAATGGTGAACCACCCTTCCATCCCAGGGATAAATCCCACCTGGTCATGGTGGATAATCTTTTTAATGTACTGTTGGATCCTATTAGCTAGGATCTTGTTGGGAATTTTGGCATCCATATTCACCAGGGATATTGGTCTGAAATTCTCCTTTTTGATGGGCTCTTTGTCTGGTTTTGGGATCAGGGTAATGCTGGCTTCATAGAAAGAGTTTGGAAGTTTCCCTTCTGTTTCTATTTTTTGAAACAGCTTCAGGAGAATAAGTATTACATAAATTATTATTATATAAATATCTATATAAATATAGATGAAAACTTAAAATACTTCACAGGGACACAAAAAAAGAGATTTGTGTTCTTGGTTAGTAAGACTCAACATCACACTGGGGCACCTGGGTAGGTCAGTGCGTTAAAGCCTCTGCCTTCGGCTCAGGTCATGATCCCGGGGTCCTGGGATCAAGCCCCGCATCAGGCTCTCTGCTCAGCAGGAAGCCTGCTTGCCTGCCTCTCTGCCTACTTGTGATCTCTCTCTGTCAAATAAATAAATAAAAATCTTAAAAAAAAAAAAAAAAAGAAAAGACTCAACATCACACTGATGTAAAGTCTCTCTAGGTTCAGTCAACCTAATAAAACCCTAACAGGTTTTTCTGAGAACTAATCAAGCTGATTCTAAAGCACAGGTGGAAAAATAAATAAGGACATTCAGGGAAACTTTGGAAACAAGTGTGAACACATTACAGAGTCACAATAAATGTAAAATGTTTGGGATTACTACATAAAAGACAGGCAGCCAAATGGAATAGAGCATCCAGAAATAGATTCATTTGTATAAAGTAGCATCTGAAATCAATGGAGGAAAGAAAGCGAATTACCCTTTTAAAAAAAAGTAGGTCTGGGGCCATACCTCACACTTTATAGAAGGATAAACTTTTAGATGTAAAACTTGAAACAAAACCCAGAAATCTTCCTGATTGTGGAATGGGAAAAGTCCTTCCTTACTAGACAGAGAACATGACAGTCCTCAGAGACTGATAAATTCAGCTGCCTTAAGAAGTACATATGTATGGCAGAACTTAAATAAGCAGGGCCAAAGGGCAAACAACAAACCAGGGAAAAGAAATACTTGGAAGTTCCATCACACAGAGCAAGTTTGTCTGATATGGAAATAGCCAAATCTTATAAAAAGATTGATCTTTCTATCTATATAGATATGAACAAGCAGCTAGCAGAAAAGGAAATATAAATGATTCATAAATACATGAAGAGATGCTCAAACTCACTCAAACTAGAAGAAATGGAAAGTAGATTTTCATCACATGATCCGAGGTCCAGAAATATAACTCTCTATTAGTCAGAGCCTGGTTGTTGGTCTTGGTTAGGACATGGTAGCAGAGGGTGGTACAACCCCCATGCAGGGCAGTTCATCGAAATTTACCTGATTACAGAAGCACAAAGTTGTTTCTAAGAATTTATCCTACAGGTATAGTTGCACACTATAGGAGGTTATTCACTGCAGTCTAATAGTGAGAGATTAAAAGCAATCCAAATGTCTAGAGAACTGGTTGAATAAATTACAGTATTTCCATTCAGTGTATTACTGTATATATACCTTAAAAGGAAAAAGAAATATATTCTGGACAAATAGGAATAAACTCCAAAATAAACCAAAATGAAAAAGGAAGGTGCAAAGTGTTGTGTATAATACACTATTATTGGTGCAAAAAGGGAAAAAAATGAAAGAACAAACATGCACTTTTGCTTAAGTGTGCATAGAATATCTGAAGGGATACATAAGAATAGTAATAAAAAGCACTAACATTCATTGCCTGTGGAAAGGGGTTAGGCAGCCAGCAGACAGGGATAGGAGGGATAAAGTTCACTGTAATGTTTCCCCTTTTAATTTCTGAATTCTGATTATATATTAATTTTTTTTTTTTTTTAAGATTTAACGGATAACAAAACCAAAGCAGTATTTTCTTATTCAGGGAATCTTAACCTGGGACCTAGCAATCCTTGAATAAAATTCACTCTCAAAATTTTCCCCCCTCAAATTTTACTCAGAATATATACATGGGCATTCTTCTCAGAAGAGAATCTATACTTTTCATCAAATTCTCAAGAGGTTCATGGAGACCTAATAAATAAAGAACCATTTCTCTAAACAAACACTTAGAAATAATCTCAGTGGTTTGCATTTATGGCACTTCATCCTTCTGGATGAGTAATATAGAAAGAAGATAATTTAAAAATTTTTAATAGTTTAAAAATGTATTAAGAAATGAAGGCTCACACTGTTGTTCTTTTTTAGCCAATAATGACATGCCTCAAATGGTCTTAAGTGAGTTAAATCAGAGAATTCACAATGTTAAGAGGCCCAAAGAAGTAACTACCATAGTCCCTTACAAGTTGATTTTGAATATATGTCCACATGTAATCAACTTATTGATAATACTTTGTTGAAAGAGTTTGGTTCTTTTATAAATTTATATATATGTTATATATATAATATATGTAATATACAAATATATAAATTTAATATATATTAAATGTATATTATATATAATATTATAATATTATTGTATCTCTTAATCATACAAAGTGTTGGACAGCAAGTTAGTATTAAAAAGAGAGTAGGAAGGGGATGCCTGGGTGGCTCAGTGGATTAAAGCCTCTGCCTTCGGCTCAGGTCATAGTCCCAGGGTCCTGGGATGGAGCCCCGAATCGGGCTCTCTGCTCACCAGGGAGCCTGCTTCCCTCTCTCTCTGTCTGACTCTCTGCCTACTTGTGATCTCTGTCAAATAAATAAATAAAATCTTTAAACCAACCAACCAAACAAAAAAGAGTAGGAAGAACCACTAGTTATATGTGTATTGCTAAATTTAAATAGAAAAAAATTTAAATTCAGTTAGCCAACATATAGTACATCATTAGTTTTTGATATAATGTTCAATGATTCATTAGTTGCTTATAACACCCAATGCTCATCACATCACATGCCCTCCTAAATGCTCACCAACTGAGTTACCCCATCCCCCCACATACCTCCCTTTCAGCAACCCTCAGTTTGTTTCCCAGAGTCAAAAGTCTATATGGTTTGTCTCTCTCTTATTTCTTCCTCTTCAGTTCTCTCTTTAAGCCCGTTTCCTTAACTGTAAAATGAGGATAAAAAGACTTCTTAGAACCATTCTTACAACAGTGTGCCTGACCAAGGAAAGTACTTGATAAATGTTATCGGTAAGATCTACTAGTCCTAATTCAGTACTTTGCATATAGCTGGGTAAAAATAAATATTTACTAAATTCTGAAAAATCATTTAATCCTACTTTAGTTACTTTTAGATATTAATCTATTAATTTTAAAAATGACTGCTAAAGATTTCATATCTTCTTTTGGATCCCCTTTGTATTGTGTTTCACACTGGCATATTTACACGGTTAAGATTTCAACGCACCCGAATTACTTTTACAGTGCGCCCACTGAAATCAGAGTTGTAAGCATCTGAAGACCTGGTTTCAAATTTATCCCGTCACGGAGTGGCTTTGGACAAGTCACTGCACCTCTCTCTGGCAGAACCCTCATAACACAAGAATGATATCCACATCACGTAGTAGTAAGATAAGTAATAAGATAAGCAAAATGGTGTTGGAACAACTGGATATCCAAATGCAAAAAAATGCACTTGAATCTATAAGAAAATAAAGTCAATGCGCATTATAGACCTAACACTATAAAACATCCGGAAGAAAAAAAATTGAATAAGTCTGTCACTTTGGGTGAGGCAACGATTTTTTAGGTACGACACCAAAAGTAAAATCTGTAAAAGAACAAATCGATAAATTCAATTCCATCAAAATTTAAAATGTTTTTTCTTCAAAAGGCCATGTGAAGGGAATGAGAACCCACAGACTGGGAGAAGGAATCTGCAAAGTATTAAGACATTCGCTAACAAGTGTTGTTAAGGAGTAACTGGACCCCTCAAACACTGCTGGTGGGAATGCAGAATGGTGCGACCACTTTGGAAAAGTTCTTTAAAATGTTAGTTATTTGCCATATGACCCAAGAGTTCCACTCCTAGGCATCTGTCCACTCTAGAGAAATGAAACGTATTCACACAAACATTTGTTAGGCAGACGTTCGTAGCATTATTTATAATGGCTGCAAAGTTGGGACACAGCCCAAATGCTTATCGACAGATGAACAGTTACAGAAACTGTGACATAGTCACACAGTGGAACACTATTCAGCAATCAAAAGGAATGAACTACTGATACATCCTGTGTCAAAAGAGCCAGACCCAAAAAACAAAACAAAACAAAAAACTACATAGTGTGTGATTCTATTTATACAAAACTCTAGAAAATACAAACGAACTTATGGTGCCAGAAAGTAAATCAGAAGTTGTCTGCGGACGGAAGGGCCAGAAGTAAAGATTTCAAAGGGGCATGCGGAAACTTTCTGGGGGGGTGGTGGTGGTGGATGATAGTTTCCTAAGTATATACATATGTCAAAACTACATATATATATTGAATTGTATGTCATTTATACCGAAATAAAAATGTTAGCAGAAAAAAACTAGCAGAATCTGAATTCTTCAGAATCCTGAGACCCTCAGAAACTATTTTGCTTGAGAACAAGATGAAAGCTAAGGCAGTCTAATGAGGTTAAATGGTGAGAAACCCACCTTTACCCTGAAAGGTACAAGAATTTGCCTAGGAGCTAGAGAATACGGGCGAAGGTAGAAAATGAAGCCTCAGTCTTGGATAAGTCCTCTCTGGGGACAGGCGCATCACTGGGGAACACTTCTGAATGCAAATGGGGCGATCCTATAATTCAGGTTTGCCCAGAACAACCCCGCGGGGGCCCAGGGGACCCACATAACCACTGAACCAGCGCCCCTTTATTCCAAGAAGCAACCCGCTCTCTCCACGCACAGCCAGGAACGCGCGCGCCTTCCTTCCCACCTGCATGTTCCTTAGGAGCTGGAAGATCTCCATGGTGCGGTACACGATGTCCTGCACCGTCTCCTGCCCGATTCGGCAGAGCGACGCCGTGTTGACCTCCCGGGCGGCCTGCTGAGCCTGCGGCCCGCCGAAGGGCCCCGGCGCCATTCCCGACGCCGCCAACGGAGGGGTGGACATGGCGACGCTACGGCCTTAGGCCAGCGGAGCCTGAGAGTAAGCGTCAGGGGCCTCGCCCGGCGCTGGGCTGCTGCCAGCCTCCCGGATGAAAGGTGCTTCAAAGACTCCGGCGGCCTGATTTCAAAACAGCGGCCGGGACTTCCGCCCACCGTGACGTAACGCGTCATCCTAACGTCACGGGGACCGCCCACTTGGTGGCCCCTGGGAACTTACCTCGGCACAAAGCTGGTCGCGATTGGACCGGACGCCCCCGTGGGGGCGGGACGGAGGAGTAGAGTAGCCAATCCCCGCCAGCACTTGTGCCAGGGGGCGGTGTTCGTGCGGTGAGGCGGTTGGGCTCTCCCGGAGAGCTTTCCAAGAATCTGTCTGTGCTTGGAATTCCTGAGAGAGCTCTTGTGCGGTGTTAGCTTGCTTGCTGAGCTAGCCCTCATAACAAGCCTGTGAGGTCTGCGCCATTATTATCCTTTTACAGCCGGGAAGCCGACTCAGAGGGGCTAGTTTGACTTGCTTAGTTGCATACAGCTTGGAATTGGTAAAGCTGCGGTTTGAATTTAAAAAAGGAAATTCCTCGCCTTGCCTGCTTCCCTGTGACCCCACAGGGACTCCTCATTTGCTGTTGGTCCCTGCTTAAGGGTCGGTTTATTGGAATAGCTTTTCCGATTACCCTAAGGGTAGAATTAATGCAACACACACACCCACACGCACCCGCCTGCCTACCTACTTTTCTGACTTTGGTACTTATTACTGTCCACGTTCTATATAATTTTCTGTTTGTTTACTTTCTGATTTCCCTTCGCCTTACACACATACTAGAATGCAAATTCCTTAGAAAGAGACTATGTGTATTTTATTCACTTCCCGTATTCTCAGCGCTTAGTGATTGGCATATAAAAGGTGCTCAGTAGCTACATGTTGAGTGACATAAATGTAAGAAAAATTAAAATAAATTCATTCTCCCACCTATCTTTTACTTCCCATTTCCAAAGTGGGAGTAGGGGGCAAGTCAAGAATGTGAAAAATGGTGATAGGCACAAAAGGATTGCATTTTAAAAAGTATCTGAACATTCTATTAGTAAGGACTTTATAAAAGAAATGGTTATAAAAATTATAGAAGAACCGTTGTCGAGATTTTAAAGATAGTGATTTTCAGCTCCTTAGTGAGCAATTGTTATTTGACAAATATTATTTGGCAAATATTCTGTATGCTGTATGCTGCGTGCTGGGAATGGAGATAGCAGTAGTGGACAAGTAAGGCAAAGCCCTGTTCTGAGAGGAGCACGGCACCCATTGCTATGATGCGTATTTTGAAGCAAATGTTCAAGGTCTCATACCAAGGTGCTAACAATTTAGTAGATCAGGAACAATCTAAAGGGAATAAGTTGGGCCCTGATGGTGAATGGGGAAGGACATTGAACACTGGAGCTTTTTCTATGAGGCGGTCCGGGGACAAGGAAGGCCAGTGGCAAGTGAGGAGGCCTCCAAATGCTTTTTAGGGTCTGAAGTTTAGTGTGAGGTTGAGTGTCAGGAAGTAAGGCTGGGGACCGAGGCAAACCTTGGAGGATGTTGTAAGACGTGTCAAACAGGCTGGGCTTTATTCTGAGTGAGACACCAAGCCATTGAAGAGTTTCAGGAGAGAGGGATAATTATCAGAATTACGCAGTCTGGAAGGCTTATTCTGGCTTGCTAAACGGAGAGTGGTGGTATGTTCTGTCGTCTTCTTCCCTCCCAAAGAAAGATGGTGTTGATGACGATGAGCTGTATTAGAGAAATAGTACAGTGGGTAACTTTGAGTAAATGTTTATACGTAGGATCTAGAGAACTTGATGTTGGCTGGATTGGGACGTGAAAGTGAGGAAAGAATTAAAGATAACATGTTTCTGCCTTGAACAGATGAGTGATGTTTATGCCATTTACCAATAGGGTACACTGCAGAAAAAAACATGTTTCAGTGAAATTATGACTTATGTTAGTTTCCTATTGCTGCTCTAACAAATTACCTACTGTGAACTTAGTGACTTGAAACATCAATGTTCGGGGTGCCTGGGTGGCTCAGTCAGTTAAGTGTCTGCCTTCCAGTTGGTCATGAGCCAGGGGTCCTAGGTCCAGTCCCACATCTGGCTCCCTGCTTGGCAAGGAGTCTGTTTCTCCCTCTCCCTCTGCTAATTGCCCTTGTGGTCTCTCTCTCTGTGTAAGAAAAATAAATGAAATATTAAAAAAAAACCAAAATCAAAGTTTATTATTTTACAGTTCTGTAAGATCAGAAGTCAGAAATGAGTCTTACGGGGCTAAAATCTAGGTGTTATCAGCTCTGTGTTCCTTTCTGGAGGCTATCAGGAGGAATTTGTTTCTTTGTCTTTTTCAGTTTCTAGAGGCTTCCAGCATTCCTTGTCTTGTGGTCCGTTCCACGTTCTTCAAAGCCAATGCTGGTCAGTCAAATCTATCATGATGCTTTCTCTCTGGTTCTGAGTCCTCTGCCTCTCTCATCCTATTTAAGAATGCCTTTTTTTTTTCTTAAGATTTTATTTATTTATTTGAAAAAAGAGAGCGACAGAGAGCATGGGGTGGGTGGGTATGCAGAGATAGAAGAAAAAGCAGCCTCCCCTCTGACCAGGGAGCCTGATGTGGAGCTCTATCCCAGGACTCCAAGGTCATGACCTGAGCTGAGGGCAGATGCTTAACAGACTGAGCCACTCAGGCATCCCTTAAGAACACTTTTGATTACATTGGACCCACCCAAATAATCCAGGATATCTTTTTGTTTTAAAATAGGCTGGTCAGCTACTTTAACCCCCCTTGGCATGTAGTATAAGATACTCACAGGTTCTGGGGATCAGGACATCAACATCTTCAGGGTGGAGGGCATTATTCTGTATACCACATGCCTCTAGCCCAAATTGCCCCTGAACTTCATTTTTTTATTATTTAAATTCAATTAGCCAATATATAGTACATCATTAGTTTCAGATGTAGTGTTCAATAATTTATCACTTGTGTAACACCCAGTGCTCATCACATCATGTGCCCTCCTTAATGACCACAGTTACCCCATCCCTCCCACTCACCTCCCCTCCAGCAGCTCTCAGGTTGTTTCCTATACTTAGGGGTCTCTCATGGTTTTTCTCCCTCTCTGATTTCTTCCCAGTTTTCCCTCCCTCCCTCAGACGCTGGTACCTAACAGTTATCTGACATTGTGTCTTGAACAGCTAATTAGCATCCAGAACTCAACATGTCCAAAAGCTAGCTCATGATCCCCCCAACTTTCTTCTGTGATTAGTCGCATCTCAGTAGCTGGCACCACCATGTGCTCAGTTTCTCCTCTGACTTCTCTTTCCCACTCTACTCCCTCACCATCAGAAAATACAGTGGACTCTAACTTTCACATATATCCTCGATGTGATAACTTCTCATGCCTTTTCCTCTTCCACCTGAGTCCAAGCTGTCGTCTTCTCCTATTTAGATTGTTGAATAGCAATAAAAAAATGCTCCCTCAGTGAACTTCCTTGCTTCTCCTCTTGCTCTATCAGTACACTGTCATTACAATACCCACAGGCAGCTTTTTAAAGGTAGAAGTCAGCCTGTGTCCCTCCTCTGCCAAAGCGCCTTCCCATCATGCTTAGAATACAATCCAAATCTCTGTGACCCACGGAGCTTCACATGTGCTGACCCCTGGCCTCTCCTGCCGTCTCAGCTCCTGCTTCTTTCCCTTTATTCCAGACACATCGGTCTCTTTGCTGTTCCTCAGATATTCTAAGGTCATCTCACTCCAGGGTCATTGGTTTTGGCCCAGTAAGCTCTCACTCCCCTCGCCTGGGATTCTCAGCAGGGCTCTGCTTACAGTGGTTTTCCCTGACCACTCTACTTAAAATAGCCTGCATTTGTTCTCTATTGCTGCCATAACAAATCACCAGAATTTAGTGCCTTAAAACAACACAAATTTGGGTGCGTGGGTGGCTTAGTCGGTTAAGCTTCTACCTTCGGATCAGTTCATGATCTCAGGGTCCTGGAATTGAGCCCCGCATTGGGCGCTCTGCTCTGCAGGGAGTCTATTTGTCCCACTCCCTCTCCCTCTGTGCTCTCTCTGTCAAATAAATAAATAAAGTCTTAAAACACACACACACACACACACACACACACACACACACACACACACATTTATTAGCTTGTTGTATAGGTCAGCGGGCGCAGGTTTGCCAGGCTAGCATCAAGGTACTGACAAGGCTGTGTTTCTTTCTGGAGACTCTGGAGGAGAAGCTGTTTTCTATTCATTCAAGTTGTCAGACTTTAGTTCTTTGTGGATGTATGACAGATGTCCCCATTTTCCTGCTTCTTGTAAACGAAGGCCATTTCTAACCTCTATGGACTGCTACATTCCTAATCCTGGCTCTTTCCTCCATCTTCAAAGCCAACAATAGTGGGTTGAGTCCTTCTCACACTTTGAATCTCTCCTGACTCTTCTTCCATTGTCATTGTCACATTTCTCTGACTCATGATTCTGTCTTCCTCTTTCACCTGTGATTTTACTAGGACCTGTAGTTTTACTAGGTCCATTTACATAATCTTGGATAATCTACCCATCTAAAGGTCCTTAACCTTAATCACATCTGTAAAATCCCTTTTCCCATATAGTGAAACATATTTGCCACTTCTAGAGTTTAGTGGGTGAGGTCAACATCTTTGTGGGGCAATTATTCTTCCTACCACATGGCCCCCTCCGTCTCTCTCCATCTACTTACTCTGTTTCATTTTTCTTTACAGTGCTGATCACAACAGATGCTGCTCACTTTACTCTTTGTCTCCCCAGCTAGACAGTAAATTTCATGAAGTCAGAGACTGTTTAGGTTACATTGGTAGGTTCAGCACCCAGAGCAGCACCTGACGCACAGTAAGTTGAAGGAACTGTGAATTTACTCTGGGCCATCCTGAGTTTGAAATGCTTACAAGGGGGCCAAGCAGAGCTGTGCAGTAAGCAATTGAGTATATACATGGAATATGGTGTTTTGTTTCGTTTTTGATGGGTAGGATGTAGTTGTAAGCTCAAAAAACAGATATCCTGGACTAAAATG